TATGTACCAAATGAAAGATCTGCTAATCATATAAGACAAACATTAACAAAACTGAAAAAGGAAATAGACAACACTGCTATAGTAGTTGGAGACTTCAATACACCCCCTCAAGAAAAGATAGAACTTCCAGAAAGAAACTCAACAAAGATGCTGAAGAATTAAACCACACAATAAACCAACTCAATCTTATAGAGATATAGATAGATAGATAGATAGATAGATAGATAGATAGATAGATAGATAGATAGGTAGGTAGATAGATAGGTAGATAGGCTAATATACCACCCAAAAAGTACAGTATAACTTCTTCTCCAATGTGCATGGAATATTCTCCAGAATAGAACACATTTTAGGTCATAAGGCAAGAATCAATATATTAAAAAAAAACATAGAAATAATACAAAGCATTTTCTCAGACCACAATGCTACAAAATTAGAAATTAGTAACAAGAGGATAAAGGAGGGGAAAACCCCATACATTTGCAAGCTGAACAATACCTTGCTTAAACATGAGTGGGTAATTGTTGTTGTTAATTTCATAACTATATAAACTCAGTTACTCCTATTTTTTTCTTTCTTTGAAGTCAAATTGAACCACTAGTCCCTTCTCTTCCTTGTGCCCAATTTGACTTAGTATAACTTTCTTCATCTGATGTTGTGAAATAAGATGTGGACATCTTTGATTTCATAGTATATCTCTCACCCATTAGATAAAAATTAATAGTAAAATCCTGACCCTTAAACTGTAAAATTAGTAACTTGTTTCTATTTTGTATTTCAAACTTGCAACTGCTTGTTGTTGTTGTTGTTATATGCCATCAAGTTGCCTGGAACTTAGTGACCTATGTACAGCCCTAAATGCTGCTCTATCCTGTACCAATCTTATTGTCTCTGACACGTCTACCCTCATTACCCTAGTCACTGAATAAATCCATCTAACTGAGGGTCTTTCTCTCCTGTGCTGCCCCTCCACCCTTCCCAAGCATAGCATCCCTCTCCAAGGACTGGTCTCTCCTTGAAATACGTCCAAAGTTATGTCATACGAAACTTCAGAATCCTTGCCTCCAAGGAGCAGCCTGGTTTAACATCCTCCAGAATGAGCCTGTTTGTTTTCTTAGCAGTCCATGGGACATTCAATACTATTCTCCAACACCACAGCTCAAAGGCATCAATTCTCCTTTTATCATCCCTAGTCAGTGTCCAGCTCTCTGATGCATAGCAAGTGAATGCAAAGACCATGGCCTGTGTCAGACACATCTTAGTTTCTAGACTGACATCATTGCTCTTCAGTACTTTGGAGAGGTCTCCAACAGCAGTCTTTCCCCAATACAATACCTCTTTAAATTTCCTGGCTGCTGGTGCCAAGAGTGTTGGGGGAGCCAAGCAAACTAAAGCTGTCAACAACTCAATCTCTTGAACATCTATCATCATGCTGCCAATTGGCCCAGTGGGGAGAATCTTTGTTTTCTTGATACTGAGCCTCAATCCATATTGAAAGCTGCAGTTCTTGACATTCTGAAGTAAGTGCTTCAGGTCCTCCTCAGTTTCAACAAGCAGGGTTGTGTCATCTGCATAACACAGGTTGTTGATGAGTCTTCCCCCAATCCTGATGCCACATTTCTCTTCATAAAGCCCTACCTCCAGAATAATCTGTTCTACGTATAGATTGAAAATGGTTCAAAATCAGGAAGGGAGTGTATCAGGGATGCATTTTGTCTCCATTCAGGAGGCTGGGCTTTATGAAGAGGATTGTGGCATCAGGATTGGAGGAAGACTGATCAACACCTTGCATTACACAGATGACACAACCCTGCTTGCTGAAACTGATGAGGACCTGAAGTGCTTGCTGCAGAACATCAAGGACTGCAGCTTTCAACATGGACTGAAGCTCAATATCAAGATCAAGATTATCACCACTGGGCCAATTGGCAACACCATGATGGATGAAGAAGAGACTGAGGTTGAGACTGAGGATGAAGAAGAGACAATTTCAGCTTGCTTGGCTCCACAAGCAACACTCTTGGTACCAGTAGTCAAAAAAATCAAAAGATGAACTGCATTGGGGAAGTCTGCTGTTAGTGGCCTTACTAAAGTGCTAAACAGCAATGATGTCAGTCTAGAGACTGAGGTGCTCCTGATCCAGGCCATGGCCTTCAAATTACTTGCTATGCATCAAAGAGCTAGACAATGACTACAGATGACTGAAGAAGAATCTATGCCTTTGAGTTGTGGTGCTGGAGAAGAGTCTTGAACATACTATGGACAGCCAGGAGAACAAATAGGTCTGTCTTGGAGAGGGTGAAACCAAGTTTCTCCTTGGAAGCAAGGATTTTGAGGCTCTGTCTCACATCTTTCGGGCATGTGGCCAGGAAGGACCAATCCTTGGAGAACATCATGCTTGGAAGGGCAGTGGGAGAGTGCAGGAGAGGAAGACCCCAGATGAGATGGATTGACACAGTAACTAGAGCAATGAGATTAGGTGTGTTGGAGTCAGTAAGACTAGCTCAGGATAGGGCAGGGTTCAGAGATACTGGACACAGGGTCGCTATGAGTTGCTAGAGACATGATAGCACATAACAACAGCAACAACATACTCTAAGCATAAGAGACAGCTTGGCAAAATTGATGAAATGCAAAATAGGAATTAGGTGAGTTATAAAAAGTTTGGGTACCTGGTCTACATAGAAATGATCCATAGGTGGCATTCTGGCTTATATACTTATATAAAAGATATGAGGTTACTGTAAAGAAATGGACCTCCTTAGTAATCTGGATTCAAGCTTCAGAACTCATGCATCTCCTGTCATGTTCAGAAAAGGATCTGGAGCCACTACATACACAGTACTGAGACACACTGGCAGGGTCATGACAGATCCTAGGTACCAAACTTACCATGTTGGCATCGATGACTTGGCCTTTGCCTGAGACCGTGCGTTCAAACAGAGCTATCACAATGCCCAGAGAGCACATGAGGCCACCACCAGCAAAGTCAGCCAGGAGGTTCAATGGGGGACACGGATTCTTCCCGTTTCCGCCAAGTCTGGATAAAACACCTACCATTAAACAATAGTGGGAAAGAAAAGACGTGACTGTCAACTCGATGTCTCTTTTAAATGAATACATGAATGTCTCAGAACTACAACCCATTTGTCTAGCTATTCACTGAGTATCCACACAGAATTCTACAAATTTGACCAATACAGAATACTTTTATACAGGATTTATTTCAGACCAAGCTCTTTCTTGCGTTTTAGAGTTTTATTTATCTGTCTCTCTCATTAATATGTTAACACAACTGACATTCTTAAAATTGTAGTCTTTAAATTTTTCAGGATTTTTGTGGAGAGAATGATTATTCACAATTTACTTTATGGCTTTGAAACCATATAATGGACTCCTTTAAAAAAGATATTAAATGTTTTAGTTGAAAGTTTACATAGCAAACCAGGTTCCTCTTTAATATTTTTTTAACACAAATTGCCCCATGCCATGGGTTATAATCTTCACAATGTACCAGAGTTCTCATTATTTCCCTTGTTTGTTCTGTTTCCAAAGGTCTACCTTCTCTCCCCTTCTTGCCTCCTTCTCTTTGATTTTGGGAAAATATTGGCTATTGGATCTCATACAGTTAATTGTCTAAAGGAGCATATTATTCACTGGTGGAAGGTTTATTTTTTAAGCCAGTCTACTACTTGGCCAAGAGGTGATGTGCAGAAATAACAATTCCAAGTTGAAGGGTATCTTAGAGGTACAGTCTCAGGGATCCATCTAGTTTTTGCTGGTCCAGTAGATCTGGCATTTTTAAAAATGGAGTTTCTGTCTACATTTTTTTCTCCTGTTCTATTCTGGACCTTCTATTGTGGTCCCCGTAAGAATAGTCTGTGGTTGAAGATGCATACCATCTAGTTCCAGTCTCTAGTTAGAAAAGGCTCATGTGGGCTGTTAGTCTCATGGACTAGTTTCTTCTTTGATCCTTTCATTTTCTTTTGCTCCAGTTGAGTGGTAGTTGTTGTTAGATGCTGTCAAGTCAACTATGACTCACAGCACTCCAAAGAGCAGTAGATCTGAACCTGTCCTTATCCAGCACCATCCTCGTGACCTCCCTCATGCTCAAGGTGATTGTTAGAATCACTGTGTTAACCTATCTTGTTGAGTGTCTTCCTCTCTTTCACCAGCCCCTCCACTTTTCCCACTTAAAGACCAAAAGCTGTATCCTATATGACTATTCATAAGCTTTTACGACCTCAATCTCTATTCACTAAACTCAAATGTGGACCATTATCTTTGTAAACTATGCTATGTGAATTGACTAAGTTGTCCCAAAGACTCTCCCATTCCTAACAAAAAGATGCAAGGAAATAAGCATATACAAGGAACATAAACTTATCCCATTTTAAAACTGATATGAAAAGCTGATTTTACTCTTTTTCTGAACCTTTAAACATACACTCACAAAAAAATTTAAGACTTCTTTCAGGCAATAATACACCGTTCTTAGACTATAGAGTCAGGTCATTTTAGAATATGTTCTCTAACAAAATCATGCTGTTGTTGTTAGCTGCCATCAAGGTCTCCCTGACCCTACTGCATCAGATGGTGTGATACACAGATAAGAGATTTTACTGGCTGATTTTTGGAAGATCACCAGGTCTTTCTTCCTAGTCTATCTTAGTCTAGAAGCTCCACTGAATTTGCTCAGCACCATAAGATCACACAATCCACTGAGGGCTTCATGACAGCTGCACCTGAGGTACAATGCTTGGAAATGGAAGTTATTCCCACACGGAAGGCAGGAATTCTATCACTGAGCCACTACTCCTCTTCAAAGTGATACTATCCAAAAAGAAATTAAAACCTCACTTCCATTGAGTCAATTCCAACTCCTAGTAAGCCTTCAGGACAGGGAAGAATGGCAACATAGCATTGCCAAGACTATAAACTCAATGGAAGCAAACTGCTACATCACTCTCTCATGGAGCAGCTGGTGGGTTAACGATCAACTGAGCACTTAACTATTATGCCACCAGGGTTCCTAAAGTGGACTTGGACCTAAAGTCCAGGGGCTTTTTCTAGTATTCACGGGAGTGTGAAGTGATGACTCATCAATAGTGATTCTGGGTGAAAGGGTGGAGGGGAAGGGATGTTGGTCACATTCAAACTACAGCAGTCATTTTCAAAGCCAAAGAGCCACTGTCCCTGCTAATACAGAGAATCCCTTCCTTCGCGTCCAACAGAGTCACTCCACAAATGTAGACAATCAATGTCATGAGCCAGAGTAGATTATCTCTCAATTGGGTTTAAAAAAAGGGAGATGATGGAATACTACACTGCAATGAAAAATAAGGAACTCATGCAATATTATTCAAAATGGGTAACCCTCGAGGACATTATGCTGAGTGAAATATCTCAGTCACAAAAGGACAAACACTGCATAGTGCCACTGCTGTAGAATGGGACTGAACTCAGGGTTGGGGTAAGAATGAGAAAAACTGGATTGAAATGGATGAGGGAGAGAACAGTTTAAAAGCAATATATTATAGGGTATTATCATTATTATAAGAGTCTGAAATGAAGGTTGCAGAGTGGAGTATACTCGGGATGGGGGTAGGGAGGTGCGGGGGGATTGTATACCAATGAAGGAATTTTTCTTTTACTTTTCAAAGAGAAGAGCAAACTGGGGGTGGGAAGGTGGGGGAACAGGGAGAAAAGCGCAACAATGAATGAATGGAAATCCAAAATCTCTGGACATGTTCATTAAAATTAATAATAAAATTAGAAAAGGAGATAAAAATAAAAGGTTGAGGATAATTGTGGTAAGAATCTAAATCAGTCCTTCTGAAAAAGTCATTGTTTCTTACTGATTCTGATAAATATATAAAGTTACTCTTAAAACATCTTTTTCATAAATTATACATCTTGACTGAGCACAGATAAAGTAAAAGATAAAGTACAGATTTTTTTTAACATACCTGACAAAGCCAAATAGTTGATGTCATGCCCTGCCATCCTGGAGAACTTCCCTGACTGTCCAAATCCACTGAGTCGGGCGTAGATGAGCTTGGGGTTCTCTCGATGGAGGACCTCAGGACCCAGCTGGAGTTTCTCCATGACACCTTAAAATAAAACCACATTTTAATATCCTGAGTGAGGATAAACACAATCCCTTCCCTGTGGCAGGCATGACGTAGCATTCTTGTAACACTCATCACACTCAAAATTAAAGGCTGTCAAGTTGGAACCTGTTCATAGCTGACCCTCCAACAGGTTTCCAAGACTGTAAACCACATGGGAAGAGACTGCCCTTCTCTCTCTCAGAGCAGCTGGTGCAATGGAACCACCAGAGGCATCACTCTGGCTTAGCAGCTCAACTCCCCACTCACGAGGCTACCAGAGCTCCTAGTAACATCACTCAAAAAGTATACTCCTAGTCATCACAGCAGCCATAACTTATGGGACAAGTAGCTTCCTGTTTCCCCCAGGCACATCCAAGGCTGCACAATCCTCAGAGGTGGCATCTTTCTCCTTCAGTCAGTCAGTCCCTTTACGATTACTCTGAGGCTCCATATATAAGTGTTCCCCCCCTTCTGGGAATGCTTATTCTCAGTTTCTATTTAGTCAACACTACATTTTTATGTGTGTCTGATTCAGGCCGTGGTCTTTTTCATTTTGAGCTCTGGTGCTGGAGAAGAGCACTGAACATCCCTCAAACCGCCAGAAGAACAAACAAATATGTCTTGGAGAGAGTGCAGCCAGAGTGCTCCTTGGAGGCAAGAATGTTGATGATTTGTGTCATATATTCAGGCCTGTTGGTTGGAGAGGCAACTACTCCTTGAAGAGGGACATAATGCTTAGAAAGGTGGAGGGTCAGTGAAAGAGAGAATGATCCTCAACCAGGTGTACTGACACAGTGACTGAGGCAATGCACTCTATAGTGTGTCAGTGTGAGGATGGCACAGGACAGGACAGGGGTCAGATCTGTTCTCCATTGTGTCACTATGGGTTGATTATGGGTTGGCAGGACTGGCATCTACTTCCTAAACAGCATGCATTTGGAAACTCTATGAACATTAGAGAAACGACGACAGTTCTAGAACAGGGTTCAGATCTTTTGTTCATAGGGTCACTATGAGTCATGCTCGACTTCATAGCACTTAACAAGACTTTCAGGAATTGCTGCACCCTGAGTCTTACAAATGGTTAAACACTCACCTACTAACTGAAAGGTTGGTAGTTCAAATTTACTTAGAGGTGGCTAAGAAGAAAGGTATGGATGGCATTGTGCTTCTGAAAAGTCAAGAGCCACTGAAAAAACGCTGGGAGGAAAGCTCCACGCTGACACCCTGGGAGCTGACATGAGTTGGAACTGGCTCAACAGCAACCGATTTTCTTCCTTTTAGAACTTCTTTTCTTTCTACCAAGTACTCATCTCACTGTCATTGAGTCGGTTCCACCTCCTACCAACCCTCCATCAGGTTTCTGAAGCTGTAAATCGTAAGAGGAAGAGACTGCTGCACATTGGGTGGATTTCAACAGCTGAAGCTGTGCAGAGCTTTTATACCTCGTACTGTCTTAGCTGTCAAACTGGAACTGACTCCTGGCTGAGCCTCCATTTGGTTTCTGAGACTGTAAACTGCACGATAGTAGACTGCCCATCTTTTACTCACGAGGTCACTGGCAGATCTGAGTCAGCCGAGAGGCAAAGCCTTTGAGTTAGCAGCACCACTCTCTAGAGACTACACCACCAGAACCGTTCTATCTTCTCCTACACTATATAATACATCTCATCTTCCTCATCAGCTCAGAAGCTCTTCTGGCAGGATTCATGTCTGCTCTGCACTCACAAAGTACGCAGCTCAAGCCATTTGCGTAAGCATTCAGTAAACATCTACAGCAAGCAAGGTTAGTTATAACATCTGAAAGCTACAGTATCTTTGTTATCACATCTTCTTTACACAAAACCATGGCAAATGGCTTCAGAGAACTCTCCTGAGATTGACAGTATTAGTCATCATTAGGCAGCACAGTTTATTCCAATACACAATGATCCCCTGTCACAGAGCAAACCTGACCCCTCCAGTCCTCTGCTCTGGAAGGACCACTTCTTGCAAGAAGACATCGTGCTGCAAAGAAAGTCTCAATGAGATGGAGTGGTACAGTGACTTCAACACGTGTTTCAGCACAGCTGACATTGTGAGGGGAGTGCAGGACGGCAAGGTTCCGCTCTGCTGTTCATAAGGTCACCATTAGATGTATGTAGTTGGCTTGACAGCATCTAACAACAACAGCAAGGTTCTGGTGGCACTACTCTTTACTGAAACAGATGATGTTGTTTGCCATCAAGTCAGAAACGACTTAGAGCTAACCCTGTTTTCTTTACATAAACACACAGGAGTATTTAAACAATACTCTTACTGCCATTCTCTTCCTGTTGTTGCTGTTATGTACTGTGAACTGACTCAGAGCTGACCCTCCAGTTGGTTTTCAGAGGCAGTAAATTCCCCAGGAAGAGATGGCTCATCTGTCTCCTATTGTGCAAGCTGGTGGTTTTGAACCACATGTCTTTGGACTGGCAGTGCAACTCCTTACCACTAGGCCACCAGAGCTCCCTGTGATCTTTCTAAAGCTACATCAATCACAAAAATAAACATCAGACAACAGAGTTAATAAATACTAGCCACAATCCATCCTCTTGCTTGGCTGCCACATTCACAGTCTACATTCCTCCTACTTACCTTGGACAATTATTTAACCATGTTGTAAATGAAGCTAGAATTAAATTAGAATGTTACGGATTAAATTATTATAATCTTCAAAAGAATTATGAGGATTAAAGAGGGCGAACAAATTTTAAACAGCTGGCACGCCAATGTCATGCAATTCATTCCCCAAACATGTCCTCACTTCATGCCCTATAAATCAGGCAACGCTTTGGATTTTTAACTGGAATCAGTAAGAAAATGGACTGAAGGGGGCTAAAGGGAAACCCTGGCTGAGCACTGGGCTGCACCACCCATCACCAGCTCCATTGGAGAAAGTTAAGGCAGTCAGCTCCACTGGAGATACAGAGCCTTAGAAAACCAACGAAGCTGTTCTAGTCTGTCTGGTAAGGTAGCTATGAGTCGGGATAAACTTGACAGCAATGGGTTGGGTTCAGTTTGATGTCAATGTCAAGGCAGTTGCAGCAGGTATGAAGAGAATATGGAGTCAAGAAGAAGAGAAGAATGAACTGCTACTGTGAAGTTCCAATAAGCTGATTAGATTCCCTTTCCTAGTTGTCTGAAGTACAAGAGACTAAAACATTGTTCCATGATGTTAAAAAGCGGGTACTATGAAAAGACAAGAATAGTATCAAGTATGAAGCTCCTGGCTCAGGCAGCTGGGTAGATACCAGCTGCTTTCATGATGATAAGTAATAGAAGAGATCCTATTTTAGGACTTACGATGGGCTTGACCTGTGGAAATTGCAGCAGATGGCCAACTTACACAAGGATAGCAGTCTATGGCTTTGACGATTTAGGGATCACTCAGCTATGAGAAGTTAGGGAGGGCAGAGGAAGGGGGATGTGGTGACCGGATAAGGAGGCTCAACAGGGAAATGCTGTAATCTGGAAATACCAAAATTTAAGGGAAGTATATTTCTAACTCTGGTGGCCCCGCGGTAAGGTGCAGTGCTGGCAACAAAAAGGTAAACAATTCAAACCCACCAGGTGTGCCAAGGGAGAGAAGGGTGGGCGGTCTCCTCCCATCTGATTTAAAGCCTCTGAAAACCCACTGGCGGGTCCGTCAGCTAGGAGTCTGGTTCCTAACTCCAAGACATAACAATACCATGGTTTGCTTGATAGAGATCAGGGCAAAAGACCCTTAATGAGAGGGATTGACACAGTAGTTACCACGGACAGCAGAGATTTTGAGGATAGTACCAGACCTAACGGAATCCGAGAAAGAATTAACATGGTGACACTGAACTCTCCCACTTAGCTCTTGTCTGGAGGTTCGGAAAGCACACCAGTCACCTCCTAATGGTGGCAACATGTGGTCACATGTCATCGAGTCCATAGTGACCCTCTGAACCTTGCCCTATCCTAAGCCAATCTCACCATCTCTGACACACCTGCCCCCACTGCCCCAGTCACTATGTCAATCCATTTCATCCAGAGTCATCCTCTCCTGCGCTGTCTGTCCCTCCACCCTTCCACGCATGATGTCCTTCTTCAAGGACTGGTCCCTCCTGAAAACATGGCCAAAGCATGTGGGACGAAGTTTCAAAATCTCTGGTTTTCATTAGACTTCATGGGTTTCAAGACCTTCGAATAATTAAGAAAAATAACACAGATGAGAGGGAGTGTGAGAGACAACATAAGAAGTATGATTATTAAAGTACCCTGGAATCTGAGGGCAGAAGGCTGCCGCGGAGGACAAAGAGCACTGGCAAATGCAATACGAAGATCGAGAATGGGCGGGAGAAGGGCTCCTGGGACGCGGAGTAAAGGCGCGGCGGCAGGTCCCTCCCTGTGTACGCCCGTCCCGCTCAGCCCCGCTCGGGTTCGGGGCTCACCCTGGCGGAAGGGCTCCAGCAGCACGTCTGCTCTCATGCACAGACGCCGCAGCACCTGCACGCCCTGCGGCTGCTTCAGGTCCACAGCCAGCGAGCGCTTCCCCCGGGCTAAGGTGCTCACGTCCAAGCCGCCGCCGCGGCCCACTCGGTCCACCCGGATCACCTGCGCCCCGAAGTCAGCCAGCACCATGCCGCAGAACGGGCCCGGGGCCAGGCCGGCCAGCTCCAGGACGCAAACACCCCGCAGCGCCATGGTGCAACCCCGGGCCGCGTCTGCGGGACGAGAGACTGAGCAGGAGCACCGTGACCTCCGGGGATTAAGAGTAACCAGCACCCCGAGCACCACCTAGAACCCGCCCCATG